ACACTCACTCCTCACTTATCGAGATGGTTAGGTTCCAAAGTTCAGGCCAACATGTAAAAATCAGTGTTAGGTAAAAATGGACGATGATCACATCAGAACACAATATAGAAGATGACTACATCCTTACACAACTGCCAAACCAGTGAGAATCATGGCCCAGCCAAGTTGATACACAGCCTTAATCATCACAGCCAGTGATACTCTTAACTCATACCCTGCCATTAGTTACTACCAGATGTATGTCATTAATGTGCAAAATAGTCAGATAGCAGATGTTTTATTATTGTTGTAAATGCGAAATGCTGGATGAGAAGCAGGTGTATTTTGTGGGAGCTCTGGTGGCACAGTGCCTAAGGCATCTGACTGCTAACCAGAAGGCTGGTGGTTCAAACCCACGAGCCACTCCTCAGAAGGAAGGTTGGGCAATCTACTTCCGTAGTGATACTGCCTCGGAAACCCAAGGAGGGGTCACTATGAGTCAGATCCGACTCAATGGCAGTGGGTTTGGTTTTTTGTTTTACGTGTATTTTGTAAGCTTTCTGTTACACACAGCCAGATGTAATCCTAATATATTCTATCAATGAAATTAATTTACAGGTTCCATCAACTTGACCACAAAACTGTGTTCAGTGTGACAGTGGTATCAACTACTGTGAAATAAGAAGCATCAGTTGTGGGAGCTGTACATCAGAGCTTGGAAAACCAAATTATTATTGGGGTGAAGCAGCTAACATACATTGGTGAAGCACCTGATTATAAAACAATAGAGAGCAGTGAGATCTGAGGCAAGCCCCAGAGTTCTAATAGTACTCCTACTTAATTTTTTTAAAAAACTGGTAGAGCCCAAACAGAACATTCTGCTGGGTTGTGAACTTCAGGCAAATTTGTGTTTTTAAAATATAGAACAATGAGTGAACAGTTCAAGTGCAAGTTGAATGAACAGAGACAAAAGCCTCCATGAAATGCAATGGTGGGAGAGTCCTTTCAGAAGGAATGAAAAGGCCCACACAGTATGAAGCACAAAACTTCAGTGCTTACCTTTGGACTAATTTTTAAAACTGTCACTTGACAATGTCCTCTAACACCAAAATAAATACTAGCAAAATCAAACTCAAGGTCTTTCGAGAGAAAAACACAAAGACTGATGAACAAGAAATCAGCTAACTTTCTACATGAAATAGAAATAAGCATGTTATCTTGTTGAAGTTACCAATACACTTACTCCGCATTTAGTGACATGGTTAGGTTCCAAAGGTAACAACTCAACCACAGAAAATACTAAAAACAATAACAAAAGTAGGTCAAAATATTTCATTATTTCCACCTTCAAGAATGTCATGCTGGTGCCATTTAATTTGGAAGACACCACATTATCTGTTATCTGCCAGGAGGCCAATAACCTGAAACATCAGAACACATTCAATCACGTCAGCTCTGAGTCTCCTTCTAATCTGATATGGGTTTGGCATGTTGACTTGGGTTTGGTCCAAAGATAGGCTGAGTAGTGGAGAAGATTGGCCAGAGCTGGAAAATCAACTGCAGATAAGCCATATAAAGAAAACCATGAGCATAGCAAGGACTATGAGGCTGGTGCAGGACTGGGCAGTGTTTTGTTCTGCTGGACATGGCGCACTCTGAGTTGGAGCTGACTCAATGGCACCCAACAACAACAACATGATCAAGAGAGAAGACATCAAGGTCCGGTCCAGCCCAGAGTAACTGAAGGAAATTCATTTATTTTATGTTGTTATTTTACTTTTCAATTAACTAATGTCTCTTTTAAAATATATTTTTAAAATAACAGGTTATAATTTACCTCAAGTTGATACACTCCTTGGAGAGAAGCAATCATGGGAGAAAGAAGGGCTGCTTATGCACAGGGAGACAGCTCAGGGGGCAGGAGTGCATGGAGGGATGGACATTGGGAAGAGGTAACTATGGGGAGGAGATGGAAGGGGAGCTGTTGCATTGTGGTAAACTGTGGTCAATGACATGAGACAAAGTATATGTGAACTGCTGTATGGAAAGTGAATTTGCTCTGTAAATCTTCACCCAAATCACAATTTAAAAAATAACAGGTTATAGAAAAAACTTAAAAACAGGTAAGCAAACGAAAGAAAATAAAAATCACCTCAATCGCACCACTGGCAATTAGCTGTTATTAACAATTTGGAGTATATTCTTCCAGACTCTTTTGATCTCCAAATATATAAATATGTAGAGATATAGATAGAGATTTATAGAAATATATATATATACACATACATACATATACGTATATAAATATATATATACATGTGTGTGTATGTGTAAATATTATTTACCAAAATGGAATCATACTATATGAACAGTTTTTAAATCATCTTTCGAACAATAATCCTAAATATTTAAGGACACAGGTGTCCCTTGCTATCCAAAAGTACAGCATTCCTGTGAAACTTTTCATAAACCAAAATGGGGTAAAACCAAGGAAGCATTTATCACTCATTTAAATGGAAACAAATTTTGAGCATTCCAGACCCAAAAAATGGCCTACCAAATCATACCAAATAATAGATAAAACCTAAAATAACACTAACATATAGTGTTCAAAGAGACAGTTCAAAGCTATGGCGTCTTGATGCCAAGATGCTGAGTGTAGTTCCCAGGGAAGGAGCTTGTTGACAAGTGTCTTAGTTCTCTAGTGCTGCCATAACAGAAATACCAAAAGTAGATGATTTTAACAAACAGGAATTAACAGTTTAGGAGGCTACAAGTCCGAGTTCAGAGTGCCGGTTCCACTCTGGGTGAAGGCTGGGTGCAGGCCCCCTGACCCTGGGCTTCAGCTTTGCCTCTCATTCCAGGCCCACTGGAGCAAACTGGAGGCTTCTCCTAACTAATGAAACTGCTGGCTACGGAGGCTGACAAACCCAAAATCAGCAAGTAAAATTGCACAATTCCAAGATTGGCTGGCAACACAGCAGGCCACTGGTTCAAGTCCAGAAACTGGAGATGAAAACTCATGAACCAAATACAAGATCTTTTCCATATACATAAGGAGCACTGGTAGCATAGTGCCTAAGGCATCTGACTGCTAACCATCAGATTGGTGGTTCAAACCCACCAGCCACTCTGCAGAAGGAAGACTGGAAAATCTACTTCCATAAAGATTTACCGCCTCAGAAACCCAAAGGGGGTTGCTATGAATTGGAAATGACTCAATGGCAATGAGTTTGGTTTTCTGGTTTTCCATATATATACTGGAAGCAGGTCACGCCCTGAAGGCCAACTAATTAACTGCTCACAGCAGATTCTACCATGGAGTTGATTACACCTCATCCAGTCTCATCACGGGGAATAACTACATCCAGCTGCCGTGCCACCCAAAACCACAGCCAAGTTGAGACACAACCTTAACAACCACAATACCACTCTTGCTCCTCGGGATGCATGTTGCCTCTTTAACAAACACTGAATGCTAGTTCAGCTTTTTGCCTTTTTTCATAAAAGTGAAAATCCTCTCGGATTTCTTTCAGTTAGTGAAAACGGGTTCTAACGTAGGTCTTTTGTAGAAGTAAAGTGAACTTTCAAAAAGCGAGGGATACCTGAATGAACGTATATGGTTAAACATCATCAAGCCACTTCTTCTCCTGGGAAAACCATATCAGAAGCTTAATAGGAAACGTGACTATTACTATATGATACAAAAATTGAAATTCATTTATATAAGCAAAACTGACTCTACAGAATGAGGGAAATAAAAAAATCACCATTAGGCAAACTCTACAATAATAATTATTACAGGACACTATACCACCAAAAATTTTAAAAAAACAAACCCACTGGCATCAAGTCAACTTTGACTCCTAGAGACTCTACAGGACAGACGAGCAATGTCCCATAGGGCTTCCAAGGCTGTAAATCTTTATGAAAGCAGACTGCCTCATCTTTCTCCCACCGAGCAGATGGTGCATTCCAACTGCACAGCTTTTGGTTAGCAGCTGGATGCTTTAACCACTGCACCACCAGGGTTTCTATATTGGTATCTGTATCTATATACCTATATCTATTAAAAATATATTATTATTATTATTATTATTATTACTACTACTACTATTATTATTGCAGGCAAGAGCCACTGAAGGATGCTAAAATTAGTGGGCAAAACTTTGAGAAGTAACAAGGTGTTAGAATAATCTCAAACTATCACCTCCAAGACAGTTATTAATTACACTGTAACTTTACATAAACCCAGCACCCATCTCCTTAACAAGAAATTAAAGTTAGCATGGCTAGTACGAACATGTATCAATATCATGTGCCAGGTATCAGGCACTGAGAAGGGCACACTCACCTTGCCATTAACACATACACAATCTCAGACTTAGCACAATAAACATCAGGCAAATTCAAACTGAGGTATGTTCTACAAAATAATTGACTGGGACTCTTCAAGAGTGTCACAGTTATTAAAGACACAGAAGGAGTGAAGAACTATCACAGATTGGAGGAGACAGAAACGTGACTAAATGCAACATGGGATCCTGGATTGGATCCTAGAATATAAAAAAAGCATTAGTGGGAAAAAATGATGACACATGAAGATTATAGTTCAACTAATTTTTAAAAAACTAAAAAACTGGCTGCTTTAAAGGCAGGGGTAAAAAAGGCCAGAAATAAAATCACAATGACTCTCTAGTCAACATAAGTGTAATGATTTAAAAACAGTAAACTCAGCTGAGAGATAAGTATTAAGAACATTCCTTCACTACTGAGTAAATAGAGAAAAATCACATAATCTCAATTTATATTTGTTCCTCTCATCCTTAAATTGTAGAGCAAAAGCCAACATATTACTCCAAATCAAACACACAGAGAGAGAAGCAAGGAGGGAGGGAGGAAGGGTGGAAGGAAGGGAGGGAGGGAGGGAGGGAGGGAGGAAAGAAGGAAGGAAGGAAGGAAGGAAGGAAGGAAGGAAGGAAGGAAGGAAACAAATCTGGGTGAAATATTATTTACCTTACCTAAAAAAATCGTGGAATTCCTCCTTTTTGGCAAAGCTCCACCAGATGCCCCTCTTACCTTCTAAAAAGGAAATAGGAGATTGTTAAAACACAGCCTATGGAGTAACAATATTTGGGGAGGGGGCTCTCAAGAGATTCCCAGTTTTTATAAAAGGCCAAGAGAAAATATTCAATCTACACAAGAGAGTCTAGGATAAACAGGAACTTGATCTAGGTCATGAAGGTAGGCAAAAGACAATGCAATTGTTCCACTTGATCATTTTACCAATTATAAAAAAAAAAAAAAAAAGTACTTCTGGAAAAGGAAGTGAGGAACCAGAGATCAAGGTGAAACAGATGCTTGAACTTCCAATCAGCCCATAATCCCAAGAGAGCTGGCATCCACATCTGATGGGAGCTTGACTCGGGAAGGATGATCATCTATGTAGGAGATCCTTGATAGAGGGGGAACAATGTGGAACAAAACTCAAAATCATTTGGAGAAAAACAACAAAAATAGTGCGGACCAGGTTTGCTGGTCCGATAGAGCCTGGTAGAACCACTGAGACTATGGCCCCTAGCTGCCCTTCAGGTCTGGAATTGAACCCACACCCGTGGCTTCCAGCCAAACAAAAGGCATATGAGTTGAACATTTACCTGAGGTAAATACACTCCTTGGAGAGAACAATCATGGGAGAAAGAAGGGCTGCTTATGCACAGGGAGGCAGCTCAGGGGGCAGGAGTGCATGGAGGGATGGACACAGGGAAGAGGTAACTATGGGGAGGAAGTGGGACGGGAGCTGTTGCATTGTGGTAAACTGTGGTCAATGACATGAGACAAAGTGTATGGGAACTGCTGTATGGAAAGTGAATTTGCTTTGTAAATATTCACCCAAATCACAATGTGTGTGTGTATGTGTGTTGTTGTTGTTGTTATTTGCCGTCAAGTCGGCCCCGACTCATAGCAACCCCTCCTTGGGTTTCCGAGGAAGTATCACTACGGAAGTAGGATTACCCAACCTTCCTTCGAGGAGTGGCTGGTGGGTTTGAACCACCAGCCTTCTAGTTAGTTAGCAGTCAAGTGCCTTAGGCACTATGCTACCAGAGCTCCATATATATATATATATATATAAGTAAGGATGATCATGACTCAAGGAGGTAAGGAACTTGTTCCCCTGCTTACTCACTAAGTCCCCTGCATTTGGCCCTGGGAGTGCTCAACAATTACTACCGAAGAAGACTGAGTAAGTTTTCATTAAATATTCACTGATATCCTGATCAATTAAATTTCAATCTAATCTTTTTAAATGTTTTGAAGTACCAACAGATGACAACCTTTGCCACCCTAAGCTTCATGTATTTTCTACCTCTGGTGGATGGCCCTGGTAGCAATGAAATACCTTACATGGAAAAGATCACTCTTTAACCTTTCTGACATTCCCACAAAAAGTTTACACTCAAAACGGATGATGATAATTTTTGTTCCATATGGGTCTAAAACCATATTTCCACTATTTATACATTTTCATTTATTACAGCAAGTTTTCAGCATAATGCTGTAGAGTGTAAGTCTAACCCCAGTATCTTTTCAAATAGTCACAAGTTATGGCAGCATCATGTCCTTGCTTTTCATTTGCTGTGTCTGAATTCACAGTTTTCCAATCACCAGTCCCAAGTCTCCTTTCCTACATTTTAGTATTTGACATGAAAGGCTGACTTATCTTTGTGATTCTCTCATGAAGTTTTTATAGCTTCTCTTATAGGTTTTTATGGTATTTTTCAATCATCTCACATGCATGTGAAAGCTGGACAATAAGAAGACCCAAGAAGAACTGATCCATTTGAATTATGCTATTGTTGAAGAATGTTGACCACGGACTGCCAGAAGAACAAACAAATCTGTCTTGGAAGTAGTACAGCTAGAATGCTCCTTAAAAATGAGAATGGCAAGACTTCATCTCTCATGTTTGGTCATGTTGCCAGGAGGGGCTAGACCCTGGAGAAGGACATAAAGCTTGGAAAGGTAGAAAGGGTCAGCAAAAAAAGAGAAGGACCCTCATGAGATGTGTTGACCCTGTGGCTGCAACAATGGGCAGTGAGTGTGAGGAGGGCACGGAACTGGGCACTGTTTTGTTCTGTTGTACATGGGGTCGCTATGAGTCGGAACTGACTCAACAGCACCTAACAACAACAATAGCTTTATAGTTCACATCTTCGGAATGTGAAAATTACAGAACATTTCAGCTCAAAAGGAGCACTCAGATGCTAACTGAAAAGTCAGCAGTTCGAACCCACCAGCCACTCCATGGGAGAAAGAAGTGCCCATCTGTTTCCATAATGATTACAGCCTTGGAAACCCTATGGGGCAGTTCTACTTTGTTCTTGGAATCAATTCAATACCAATGGTTTGTTTTGCTTTGTTTTTTAACTCAAAAACCCATGGCACCAAATATTAATGCTAAATGTACATTTCTCTTAATCCCTGTCTTCCATAGTCTCAGAGCCTCCATCCTCTCCCTTCCATGTGCCTGCCTAAAAAAAATGGATGAAATAAAACCTATACCAAATGCTAACTCAATCTCTTTTTCCCAATCTTGGATATCACTCAAAATCTCTTTAAGGAAGTTTACAGTGTTCTTTTAATCGTTTGAATCTCACTGCCCCTTGCACTATTGCAAGATAGTGAAGGGAGAAAAAAGGAGAGAGGCCATATGAAAACTTTCTAGAAAATGAGGCTCTCAATGAGGATGACATTTACACCTTACACTTGAATTAGATCCAATTCCTTTCAAGGGCAGGAAATGAATTACGTATTCCTTCCAAAAATCACCAGCTCTGCTCCAGTCAACACCAGAAATCAACAGATTGAGACACTGGAACTCCTCAATTAGCACATGACTGTGCCCATGTGTCAGACTCTGTGTTGGAACTTAAAGCAAACTGATCGAAAATCCAGTCAGTCCATCTCTTGAGGAGCTCACAAGCACAGTACAAAAACCAAACCAAACTCAATGCCATCAAGTTGGTTCCAATTCACAGCAACCCCTCCTTGGGTTTCCAGGCCAGAATCTCTATGGAAGTAGATTGCCCAATCTTCCTTCCACAGAGTGGCTGGTGGGTTTGAACCACCAGCCTTCTGGTTAGCAGTCAAATGCCTTAGGCACTAACATAAATGTAAACAAATAGCATGATATATTTTGATGAGTGGTAACAGAGGGTCAAAAAAGGTATGATCATATCATAAGGAGAAAATGATCAAGTCACCTGAACAAGAAGCTTGTTAGGTAAGAAAAGCATATCACAGGGACCAGCAAATATGTGTTGGTTGAATGGACGGATGGATAGATATAACTGATCACCAGGGACATGTAAAAAATACACAGAAGTACAGGAGGTAAAAATAGAACATCACAGACAGAAAAAAATAGCATGTGCAAAAGCACAAAATCACAGCGGGTTCCAGGAAGGAGAACTGGTTTACTATGGCTGAAACACAAAGCTGGTGGAATAAAAGTCAGGGTTAAAACAGTTAGGGGCCAGACTAAGTCTGAACATGCTGCCACAAAGCTCCCTTAAGCCTCAGTGTGCCACAGGGATATATGCAGCTGGAATGATCACTCTGGTTGCAGGGTGCAAACTAGGATAGTGGAAAGTCTGAAAGAAGAGAGATTAGTTACGAAGCTACAGCACTAGTCCTTTTAACAGATAATGAGCACCCAGACAAGAATAGCAGCAATGGAGAGAACAGGATGAACTTCAGAGCTATCTGGAAAGCCCAGGTGACAGGACTTTATCAGCAACCAGACATGGAAGGAAAGCAGAATCCAAAGGATGTCTAGGTCTCTGGAATCTAAGGGGAAGAACAATTCCGAGAAAGAGGATAATTAGTTCAGTCTGGGCACACTGAATTTGAAGTACCTATGAGATGCTGGAGTAGAAAAATCCAAGTCAGAGTTGGATGGTCAGATATTGGCTATGTAGAAGTGAATTTTGAGGTTACCAGATTAGAGGTCGAGGTTAAAATATATGGATGACACTGATGAGCAGCTTCCAGAGAAAGAATAAAGGATGGTCAAACAGCATCCCAGGGAATGCCAATACTTCTGGGGTAAATGGAGAAAGAGAAGTTAGTAAAAGAATCTGAGAAGGACCAGTTTGAGAAGTCAGAGAAAAGCCAAGAAAGAATAGTGTCAAAGCAACCAAGGGAGGAAAAGTTCTTGAAATAAAACAATTTCAAAATTCAAAAAGTGACATAAAATCAAGGCTAAAACATATCCATTGAGTGTAGCAAGTAAGGGATCTCTACAATGTGGAACAAAACTCACAATCATTTTGAAAAAAAAAGGACCAAGTTTGCTGGTCTGATAGAGCCTGGTGGAACCCATGAGACTATGGCCCCCTGTTGCCCTTCAGGTCTGCAATTGAACCCACTCCTGCAGCTTCCAGCCAAACAAAAGACAGCCATATGAGGTAAACATTTGCATTAGGTAGATACACTCCTTGAGGAGATCAATTATGGAAGAACAGAATGGCTGTGTATGCACAGGGAGACAGCTCAGGGAGTAGGAATGCATGGGAGGGAAGGACACAAGGAAGAGGTAACTATGGGGAGGAAGTGGGAGGGGAACTGTTGCAGTGTGGGAAACTGCACTTAATGTCATGAGACAAAGTGTATGTGAGCTGCTGTATGGAAAGTGAATTTGCCCTGTAAACTTTCACCCAAATCACAATTTTAAAAAAGTAAGGGGTCTCTGACACCCTTGGCAATCTTAGTAGACTGCAATGTTGAACCTTAAAGGAAAGTGTAATAGAAACAAGCACAAAATAAAATCTTTTCAAGAAGCTTTAATTAAAGGACGTGATGACTAAAGGTGGACACACATTAAAAACCAAACTCACCACCATCAAGTTGATTCCAACTCATAGCAACCCTCCTTTGGGTTTCTGAGGCAGTAAATCTTTATGGAAGTGGACTGCCCAGTCTTCCTTCTGCAGAGTGGCTGGTGGGTTTGAACCAGGAACCCTCTGGTAAGCAACCAAATGCCTCAGGCACTACGCCACCAGAGCTCCTTGGACACACAT